GAAAAGTTTGACGAGAATCACAGAAACAATATTATCATTCCTAAACAGATCATATCTACTCCTCCTGAAACAGAAACTCAAACAAGCGAATCTGTTGTGCCAGCGGAACATAAAGTTGAATCATTGCCCACTTCAAGCGTGTTTCAACAGGAGCCTATTAATGAGAGAAAAGAAGAATCCGTTGTACAGGTTATACCAACCAGTAGCGAAACAAAAGAAGACGTTGCTGAGAGTGCTTCAACTCAGAATCAACCAGTGATACAAAGTTTGGTTACAAAAACCGACATAGAGAACGATGCGAAGATAGAAACGTCCTCTTGTCAAACAGAAAATCTTGAAACTAACACTGAATTGAGCCCTGTACAGAAACCTCTAGAAAACTCTGCACTAGATCCTCTACCTAATCCTCTACCAGGTCCTCTACCTAATCCTCTTTTGGAAAAGCCTGAAAATAATCTACCTCAGAAAAATGACTTTGATATTTCTCAGGAAATCGTACCTCCTCAGAATAGTGAGAAAGTCGAAACACAAACTGACAAGCAAGCCGTTCCGATTCAGTTGAACGAGACAACAGTTATTCAGAATCAGCCTGATGTGGAAAGAAGATTTCTCCAAAACAAGAATCTATAAGATCAGAAAGTAGGTTGAAACAGGAAAAAGGTGATGAAAAACGCTATCATCAGAAATTTCCTCATGAGGAAAAAACTACTTATGATGTCCAGAAGATGCATTTGGACAATGAAAGTCTGTTAGCAAATGCAATGGCAACTCAAAACTATCATCACATGACACAAGCTCAATATGCTCCTTTTCCTTGGGAAAGAATTCCTTGGAGCAAAAGTATATATTATGATAACAAGAGAGATTTTCAGGGCTACCATATGATTCCCCAGTTTCCCCCATTGGATATGTTACCAAAACAGCCTAGTTGTGAGAAGGAAAAACATCCTCCGAAGTCGCATCGTCATTCAAGTCAAAGTAGCAGCAGTATGAGGCTTAAAGACGGCAGCAAGCAGGAGAGTAGAGAAAGGCATTCTTCACCTAAGAAAGAAGAGAGAAATAAATCAAAAATTGATCAGGACATTTATGGTTCCATGAAAATAAGTGGTGACACTCAAAAATCTTCGAGTTGTTCTTTCAATTCCCAGAGTTCAAGTAAACATAATATTCCGAATGTCCCAAATAATATAGAAAAGAATGATAAAGGTAAAGTAGAGCTAGAACCAAAGCTTGATACACCGACACATCAAATGCAACATCCTGCGAAACCAACTATGCCCACCCCAACAGATTTACCATCAATGGGAGTATATACTCCAGATTCTACAACCAACTCTGTCATGAGTATGCACTACGGACAGTGTGAATTGGATGGTACTCCTATGAGCCTCTCGTCGCCTGCATCTGTTTCTAGCGATATGAATTCACAAACTTCTGTGGAACCTGTGAGGCCTCCTTCTGCTGTTGCTACAAATCAGACTTCGTCAACACAGCAGACACCACAAACCAACTACGATTGTTCTGTTCAGCATAACATGCAACAGAACTTACAGTCTGTTACTGTGTCAAGCCCAAACGTTACTCAAACAACTATGCAAATGAGTCAGACTAACCAGTCTATGCATCAAAGCACATCCAGCAAACGGCAAGTACAACAGCAAAGAAACAGATCAAATACTCCATCAAATAAACAACATGCCATTAGTCGGTCCACACCACCAAATACAAGTCAACAGGTTCAGCAAAGCAGGCAAAGATCAACTCCTCCATGTAGTACACAACACCTCCAACACATGCAGGCTAGTCCTACCACACAACACACAACAATGCAGCAGCAACATCATAATACCCAGCAGTTACAACCTCACTTACACCAGGTTGCCGTGCATCAGGGTTACCAGTATCAGCTGGGACCTTCTCACCAGCATCCCCATCATAGCCATCATCATACAGTGATCAGTAGCCAAGGCAATTATATTCCACTGGCAGTGACTACTCAAGCTTTCCCCCCACAACCAACAAGTACCTGCGTTAATGTACCTCCAATGACGACAGTCATACAGCATAGTATGAGTACTCAACAGGGTGGAATAAGTCCTTTGAATACTCTTGGCGCATCTCATCAAAAATTATCTTCTAGTCCAAGTTGTGCTGTAACATCTGGAACCAATTTTTATATCCAGACAAATTCTCACGCCCATTCCCATACCCCCGGACCAGCTTCTACCCCGTCTCCTAATCAGCGTGCAAATACTGGTCAAGCTGGATCTGGCAACGCAAGTTGTAGCTTGGCTAAGTTACAGCAGTTGACGAATGGCCTTGAAATGATGCCTTCTGTATGTAATACAATGACTCCTTCTCCTACTGCTGCTATGACACTAACTCCACCTCCTACACATCCTCACGCAACTCCACCTCCTTCGCACCAGATGCTACAAAACCAAACTGTTAGAAACTTGACACCTCCTTCTTCGATCCCTCCGAATCTTCAGCAACCGGTGATCAGCTACCACAAGTATTATCAGACCAATATGAATGTCAATCAACTTGGTGGTACAGTTACACCTCCAATTGGTCAGAATCTAGGAAGACCTAGTAGAAACGCTAGTAACGTAGCTGCTATGCAGCATATGCAAACGTACAACATGAATAGTTATCCGATGGCCACACAGCAAACCCCTGGTTCTGTGACAGGTTACATAACCAATACACCTGGTTTCAATCAGATACCAATGCAGATGATGAACATGGCTCAAACACAGTATCAGGATCCAACGTTACAAAGAGCCCAACATAACACCATGTATAGAGCTTATATAAACGGCATTATGCAGCCTTTGAATGGAACAATGAGACGCTAATTTCAGTTTAGCCTTTCGACTGATGTTAGCAGTTGTATCAACGATTCTATAGGTTGAATCTAATGTTATCCGGTTTTAGAAATCCAACATATTAAAGTGTTGTGTTCTAGTTTTGGTCCAACCATCAGAACTGGGGCATCACATCCTGATGATGGTAACGTTGTTATTGAAACACGTGTCGAAGTAAGGTGCTCTAGTTATGGTATATCATAAAAGTATTTTCATTAGACTTTTAATATATTGACTTTCCAATAGTAGAAAAGAACATTTTCATAATGCTGGAAAGTTACTTGTCACTGTCAACAAATTTGTGAAACAAACACCAAGAAATAATTTTCTATAAAGTTGAATCTGTATTATCTGTAAGTACATGCTTTTTTTGGTAGCACCTTTACTTGTAATTATTGTGCCCCAAAATTTTGACAAAGGAGAAGAGTTGAAAGTCCTATTTTTACTGAAAGATATATGTATATAAGAGGAATAAGTGATCAAGAACTATTTTAATTTTTGGTGGAATTTGTGTAGTGATACCGAAAATATGAAGCTATAGCATGTATTTTGTAAATGCATGAGTTATAGTGTTAAGCTTTAAAAAAGTTATTTAGAAGTCGAGTCCATTATTTAAAAAAACTTGGATTTGACTGTAGAGCACCATTGCATTAGTAATTTAAGAAGAAATTCTTTCAAAAACAGTTGTGAGAACTTTAATTTTGATGAGAATTTGGCTGTGCAGGCTTATGATCTGTTTGTGTAATAATTGTATATTTCCAGTTGTTAATATTTTTCATTTTTCAATTGTTATTTGGTCTTGACTAAGGTGAATATTTTATATGTGATGCTGAGTTTTCAACTACAAGATCTCTCCTTGGATTTACTTTAGGTACCCTTTACCTAATATGAATTATTTATTGCAAATTGTAAAATATTTCTTGAATTTTGTGAGAGACTTGGTCGATTGTATACACCTTTTTTTGAATTATGTTATACTTGTGTTGAGATGAGAAATTCTTTGAAATGAATAATTTTTTGCCTCATTTTAATTGTTGCACAGCAGTGTGAATTGGATTTGTTTGAAACAAAATTTGTTAACTAACATTTTGCTGTATGTTTTACTTTTGTATAACTAATACATATATGATATTAAAAAATAGTTTTAAATATATTTTGTTGGTTTTTCTTCAAAACTTTTTTAGAAGAGATTAGTTTTTTGGGAAAACAGCTTTTTAGCTTTCTACTTTTCCGCCATTGAATGAAAAATGTGTGGAACTTGCAAAGAAAAAAGCATTGTGATGGTTTTATTTGTATATATGACGTCATATTCATAAATTTTTGTGTTTTGACTTGCTACAAATATTTGTTCAAATGTATCACGTATCACGAAATATTTATGTTCTTATAAAATAAAGAACATTATTTCATAAGACAATGCAAAATTAATATCATTCGATGTACAGACTCTATTTCCCAGCATATCTCCTGATGATACTATTACTTTAGTTATATAATTGATAATTTCATAGACCACAACTTACGATTTGATCTTCACAAACTTTATTTTCAAAAGTATATCACGACAAATTTTCGCTATCACAGTAGCTTTTTCGTAGTTAATGAAATACTAAGTAAGTACTTTATTTAACCACTTTATATACAATTGCGTATTTGTACCAAGTCACAAAAGTTTGTTCATTAGATAAAAACTTTAAGTAGATATAAAACTGGACATATACCACAATAGAATATAAAAACCTAACCTCACACCACACGCACTTGATAGCTTGTTACTGACTACTGTTCACAGAGGTCACAGAGGGCGTGGGTTCGGCGGGATGGGATAGCAGTGACACGTGATCGTGAGTCATTCACCGGGCACCACCCCTGCGCCCCCCGCAAGCTTGCGCCCTAGGCCATGGCCTAGGTTGGCCTTATGGGTAATACGGGCCTGCTTGCATGCAAGAATCAGATTAGTCCATACTGTTATATCTTGTGATTTTTTTTCTTAACTGATCTATATTTTATCTTGGGTTAGGTAAGACCCAAGACCCTTCACTGCAACCCGCAAGGGTTTATTGTGGCTCATATTTTATCTTACTATTTTGTAGCTGTTATTCTTATAATTTACCTTCCATCCACTACATTGCATCAACGATCTATTGTGATGCTCCTTGGTTGTTAGAGCTCAATGTCTAACTTGATCTCTTTGATGAGACTCCATAGCCTTGACACTGACCCTTCCATATAGCTGGCAGCCTCTGATTTCTCTTTCCAGCATCTTGCGTGTCTCAGCCTTGCTATCGCTTCGCATTCACAGAACACATGCAGTGCGGTTCCTTCCTCTTCTTGACAGAACGTGCATTGGGTTTCTCCTATCAGTCCCATGTTGCTCACATGTTTCCTGAGACGGCTATACCCTGTTAGTAGACTCACCACTACTTTTACAACTGTACGGTTGTGGTTTAGCAGGTCTTCCATGAATCTGAGTGATGGTTTGGTTTCTTTATAAACTCTTTCCTCTGCCTCATTACTGGGAGTTAGTTTCACTCGACTACTATATAGCACTGTAATATTTGAATTGGGGCTGCCCATGAATAAATGAATAAATAAATACTAGCTGACTCGGCAAACTTTGTTGCCACATAAATTATTTATAGGGAATTTTTATGGTAGAAAATAATAACTTGTAAAATAATCCTCATCTGTCTATAGTGATGAAACAGTTAACCAAATTCCAGAATATAAATTTAATAAGACAGTTGATATACGTAGTTATAGTGTTGATATTAAAGAAATAATCGATCTAGTCATGTCATTACCTGGGAAATTGTCTACAGCTCCTGATGGAATTGCGCTATTCCTAATCGTAATAGTGGTAAAACCAATTATGTCGCCCCCATACGAACGACAACTCTCAGAAGTTGAGAAACTTGTGCTAGCTAAGGACTAACGAGGTCTTACCTTTTAACGTGTGATTCCTAACACGGATCACATAATGATATAAAAAGTTATCAGGCAGTCTGTAATCAATCAGAATTACCCAAATTGTTAGACAGCCTAATTACAAAAAAGCTAACATGGGATTGTAGACATATAATCATTAATCTACAACATGGATTCAGTAGTGGTAGATCTACCAGCACAAATCTGCTCATTTATCAACACTGTATAATAAACGCCTTCGAAAATAGACACCAGGTGGACTCTATTTAGACAGATTTTTCAAAAGCATTTGACCGAGTAAACCATAATTTGCTGTTGCATAAACTAAACGCTTTGGGTATTCAAGAAAACATTCTGAAATGTATTAAAAATTGTCTTGCCTGCAGAGAACAATTTGTAAAATATGGTAACTCAGTATCTTCCTCAATCACAGTGTAATCGTGTGTACCACATGGTTCTCATTTAGGGCCATTGCTTTTCAACCTACTTGTAGATGACTTGAAAGATGTTATTCTTTATAGTGAATTTCTTTTGTTTGCTGATGACCTGAAGATGTTTAAAGTTATTTATGACTCAACTGATACAGTACTATTTATCTAACTTTGTTCGGTGGTGTGATATAAATCTACTGCAATTAAATATAGACAAATATCAAAAATTTACTTTTTTTTCAAAACAAAAATCCCATTGACCGGCCATATAAAATAAGTCAATCAGAACTGAAAACAACAAACACAATCAGAGATTTAGGAATTACTCTCGACCCAAAAATGTCATTTAAACCCCATATTGCAAATATTACTTCTAAAGCACTAAAAATGTTAGGTTTAAGTTTTAGATCTGCAAATGAATTATCTCTCACTTCAATAAAAATCATATATTGTTCAATTGTTAGATCACTAATCGAATATAATTCCACAATTTGGTGTCCTTCACACCATGTGGATATTTATATGCTTGATAGTGTTCAAAATAAGTTTTTGAGGTAATCTGCATATAAACTGGGATATCATATTGGTGAATATGACTATTTAATTATATTGGACATTCTTAACTTGAATACTCTGGCTCATAGAAGATTACAAGCAGATCTTACAGTAATTCATAAAATAATCAATGGTAGCATCATTTCTCCGAAACGTGTCGAACTTATAACTTTAAATGTGAATCCAAGAAGAACAAGAAATTCGGAAATCTTCAAAGTAACCCTTTTGTCGCACCAACTATGGCCGGAATGAATCTGTAGGTAGAATTTTGAGAATTGCAAATACATACAATGTAAATTTAGAATTTTTTAATTCTTCTTTGGAAACATTTAAAAAGACTGAAAAGAGTGTAATTCATTAACATATTTTTACGATTTTTTTTATTTTATATTATATATTTTTTCCTTAAACCTAGCTGAGATTACTGTTAAATACATATGTGTGAACTTGTTAATTATTTAAAAAAAAATAGGCATTGCCGTAAATTAATAAAATAAATAAACTATGCGGTGGCATGCTTGACAAATCCAGTAAATTCAAAAACTCTCACAGCTTAAGTGGCATCGCAAACTGTAGGAGGTAAAAACAGTGGAGACATCATTGATAAATAAATTGAACAGTAATGGGCCCATGTGGGATCCCTGAGGAACACCTGCTGGCACATTTATCGGTTCAAATATAGAGTTGCCATATTTAACGTATTGAACTCTATTGTAAAGGTAGATTTCAATCCAATTTAAAACATCTCCCTCTTAACCCAAGGCATTCAACTTAGCAATCAGTAGGTTATG